ACTGCATATTATATTATATTATACACTCTAAAAAATGCTGGGTTGTTTCAACCCAAATTTGGGTCAAATATGGACAAACCCAAATGTTGGGTTAAAAATGCAATCAAAAAAAAATTACAGTGAAAAGTGAAAGTTAAAGTTGGGTTCAAATTTGAAATTACATTTTTAACCCAATATTTGGGTTTGTCCATATTAAAACAACCCATCAGCATTGTTTAGAGTGTACGATATTATTCTCACACACACACACACACACACACACACACACACACACACACACACACACACACACACACACACACACACACACACACACACACACATATATATATATAACTTAAATTATTTACAATATAATTAGCCTCTATATATTATTCTTCTGCATGTAGAATGTGAGAATAATATGTTTTTTTAAATCGTATTAGAAAGCTTGTCCCACTTTTTACACTATTGAACATCTCATCAAACTTCATAGATGTCTCAGATGGGGTAAGTTGTCACATTGGGACCCTGCCATTAAATTGCATGCAGTAACATGAAGAAACAAAACACCATCAAACCCCTGTTTTGGCCAACATATATAACAATTGATCAATTTAATAAAATTACCAATTTAATGTGATAAATGTGACGTTCTACCCGGATCTAACATTTGTGAAAAATATTGTCAAGGAAGGAAGACATTTTCTGGTTATGAAAATGAGGACATTAAAAGGCAGCTAAAGAAACGAAAAATCAAACTACGTTAAATAAAGACAGGAGGAAAACAGATAAGAAGAAGAAGTCTAATGAGACTATTGAGCAGAAAACAACATCTGTTTGGCTCCTGGCTATAATCTGAGCACACATTTGCCAGAGAGGTACAGTATGGTGAAGGACCGTGTCTTTCAAGAAACTTGCAAACAGATGCAGTGAACAGGTTTGTCTTTTCTCAACTTTTCCGACGACGAGGAACTGTTTCCGCTCAAACTGAGAACATTTCAGCGGTCTTCGAAGGATTTAACATGAATAGCAGGTGTTTCTCCGTCTAGCTATGAGAACACTGAGGAACGTAAAGACTGTGTAACTCATGCCCTGTTATGAGAAAGACATCAATCACATGGTGTCTTCTGAAATGCTGTCCATGTTTGGTGAAACAGCACGATCAAGGACATTTAGCGAACATGTCAGTGATATAAACACTGTCATTTTAATACTGCTGAAATGTCATAGCAGACGTGTTGTCAGACAGTGCTGGGCACGCACATACTCAAGGACGGAGAGAAAAAAAGATGCATGCGTTCAAATTTAAAAAAAATATATATATATCTTCTGCTCACTTATTTATTTGATCAAAATACAGTGAAAACAGTAACATGATGCCATTTACATGTTAAAATGTAATTTATTCCTGTATTTTCAGCATTACTCCAGTCTTCAGTGTCACGTGATCGTTTAGAAATCACTCTAATATGATTTGCTGATGAGGAGAAAGTGTAAAAGAACAGCATTTATTTGAAATCTTTTGTATCAATATAAATGTCTTTACTGTCACTTTTGACCAATTTAATGTATCCAATGTCATCTCTCAGCTGACCCTCAACAGTTTGTACAGAATATGAGTGCTTGGTTTCACAGACAGGGTTTAGATCAAGTCAGGATTAAGCCTTAGTTCAATTAGAACATTTAAGTAGCTTTTACACTCTAAACAATGCTGGGTTGTTTTAACCTAAAATTGTGTAAAATATGGACAAACCCAAATGTTGGGTTAAAAGTGTCATTTAAAATTTTAACCCAACTTCAATTTTCACTTTCAACAGTACATTTTTTTTTAATTACATTTTTAAACCAACATTTGGGTTTGTCCATATTTGACCCAAATTTGGGTTGAAATAATCCAGCATTTTTTATAGTGTATAAACGTGCCTTAGAAAAAAACCCAAAACATTAATGGTGTGCATCTTGCGACAAAACAATGGCACTAATATATTTTAAGATATATCAGTACACTCTAAAAAATGCTGGGTTATTTCAACCCAAATATTATTGACAAACCCAAATGTTGGGTTATAAATGTAATTAAAAATGTACAGTTGAAGTTGGGTAAAAAATTTTAATAAAATTTTTAACCCAACATTTGGGTTTGTCCATATTTTACCCAATTTTTGGTTCAAACAACCCAGCATTGTTTAGAGTGTATATATTTAATTTATTTTATATGATATTATCTTTTTTATATGGTGAATGTATAATAACTAATTTTTGCTTAAAACAACCCAGCATTGTTTAGAATGTACAAGTTGCTTTCAGTTAAAACAGTTCAAACATGCATTTTAGTCTTAGACTATAGGCTTACGCCTTGTCTATGAAACCAGGCAATAATGTTCTGGTACAAATTTCATATTCATATTCACCTTGATTTGAATTGAAATCACTCCAGAACCGAACTTAGTCTGTGTCTTGCCTAGGAGAGCAATTGACTGCCGAGAGGATTGTGGTTTGGGAGTTTCATGGGATCAGATCAGGACAGAGACACTGAATGAGATATATCAGGAGGCTATTAGACAGATATCACACATCACGTTAGGCGTTATGTTAAAGATATCTTGGAGTATATGTATCTGTGATATCCAGAACACAGAGACACATTCATATGAAATACTCCAATGAATAGCAAAGCAGAGAGCTGTCAATCATCCACTTGTCATCTGGGCTGGATGGTTTACTGGCAAATAATCTATACATTTATTCACTGTGAATTGAAATTATTCCAAGGGTCCGCAGCAGGGGTCCACCAAATGTTTTTTTTCAGACTTTTTATTTTGTGAAAAAAAAAAAAATGAAAACGTCAATTAAACAATTATAAAATATTAACTTTGACCAATTATTATGTTAAGAAGCTAAAGTTCTGCTAAATTATTAAAGCTTCTTCCAGAGTAAAATGTAAAGAACTTGCTCAAGTTCATCCTCATGTATTTTCTAAAGTATGACTTCCTTTATTCTGTGGGACACAATGTCCAAGCTGCTCTTTTTTGATTCAATTAAAGTGAATGGCAACCATAGTAAGATTTTAAGGCAATATGAATATATTTTGGCCTTTTTTTCAAACCACATTTAGTGCACAATTATTACTATTAATGGTATTTTATGTTGCTTTATGTCCTTGGTGCTTTTCCTTTAATATTCCTGCAAAATTAATGCATGAAAAAAAAAGCAAAACCAAATGATATGGGAAAAAATAACACTAATAAAAATGGCATTCGAAGAATCATGCGATCTAAAGTGCCAATTGTCTCACTTGTTGACCTCTATTGCCACCTATTGGATACTAACAGGAATGAACCTTCCTGAACCTTAGTTTGTAACCCAGAGGCCTACTGAAAACTTCTCATAAAGCTTTCTCATTTCTTTTTTTCTTTTTTTTCGTTTTTACAGTGGAAAATTATCCTTCTCAATATTCTGCCATCACACTTGGTTTTCCATCTGCTTTTTTCTGTCTCTGTTCCTCTTTCAAAAAAGTTGACGAATTGACACTTCTCCAAAAACACAAACTCAAGCATGCACATATTACATAGAGTTCAATGACACCCTTTTCTATTTTTGAGATCTGTAACACATTACATTAATTAAAACAGCTAATACACACGATAAACATGTTTTCATTTGATAATTTGTGGGGGTTAAAGGCAAAAATGTGAAACTATCCAGGAAAAAAGACGTTTGGTATAATAGGCTATAGCTTAAATAAGCAGTAAAGATTTTATTTTTTAATAACCACATTCAGAAATCCATTTTGTCACAGGAAAACCATAAAACAAGAAACAAAGCAGACCATAGACCCTCATGGCTGTGTGCCAAGTATATTTTGATATTTTGACCGTTTTATTATGTTTAAGGTTCATTCAAACTGTTACGATCAACTTTTTAATGTATAAATCAAAGTAAATTGGCATTTAGATAAGAATTTGATCCATTCTTTTGAAAATAGATTTATTACGTTTGTATTATTCTGTGACATTTAAGTAACACTTTCCAATAAGATATTTATTTATTAACATAAGTTAACTAGGCTACATTAACATGAACTATAGGTTAATGAAAAATACTTCTAGAATGTTAATTTCAACATTTACTAAATACATTACTATTAAAATCTAAAATCTGTTAATCTTATTTAATGGACTGTTTAATATTATTTAACATAAACTTAAAGTTGTATTAATTAGGCTAAGTCAAGGCAAGTCTTCATAGCGCTGTTAACAATATTAACAACAATAGCTTTACAATGATAATAGAAAAATTAAAGTAACAGAGATTGTTTTTGCTTTACAGCTCTAGAATAAAGTTATTGTCCAGCTAAAGTTAGATTTGATTGATTAATTTCCGTTGCAAAGATCACTATTAGGTGCCGGAAACACGACACCGTTCTACGGAAAACCATTAACGGTCCGGTTGCTCATTCGCACAATAATCAACGCATTTTCATCCTAAAGCGTCATATACGACACTTTTGCAAAAGCGTAAACATCCAACTCACATGGCACCCTTTAGCGTCAAATGAGACGCTTCGGTTATGGTAGGTTTAGGTATCGGTTTGGGTTAGACCACTAGGAGGCGGCTTCTGCTCCATATATATATATGCGTCTCATTTGACGCTATAGGGTGCCATGTGCGTTGGATGTTTATGCTTTGGCAAAAGCGTCGTATATGACGCCTTGTTATGAGAACGGAAATGGTTTTCAAGGTGCAAGCCTTGAATAAAAAAAAAAAAAAGAAAGTTATCTCTGCAAATTTCAAAAATGCATAACTGTGAGAACGCCTACATCATGCACATGCATATTGCGTTTAGCTAGACTAATGCGCGCTTGAATTTATATGTGTGCAGGCGTGTAGTCTTTTTTTTTTTACACTCTAAAAAATGCTGGGTTATTTCAACCCAAATTTGGGTAAGATATGGACAAACCCAAATGTTGGGTTGAAGTTGGGTTAAAATGTTAAATGACGTTTTTAACCCAACATTTGGGTTTGTCCATATTTGACCCAATTTTGGGTTAAAACATCCAGCATTTTTTTAGAGTCCTCAGCAAATTACTTGTCTGGCCTTAAAATGTACAATAGCCTACAGAAATATTTATCGCTTCCATGAAAATGGGACAGCGTTTTAGAGGTAAAGGGAAGGAGAAGGGGGCCTTCACAGTGGAGAGACTATAGCCTAGTTGATACTTAAGGATTGCGTTGTCGTCGTGTCTAGGCTCAGGTCCTTCATCAGATCTGGATCCGGCTCGACGCAGTCTCAAGTCGGACAAAATTTCGAACAGGCATGCACTGCTTCAAGGCAGATCATGATGGGTCTGCACATCGCTATGAAGCCAAACACACTTTATGATATCATGACACACTTGACCCTTGACATGATCAGAGATGAAACGGCCCTGAGAAGCTGCTCTGATTGCTGAAGGTTTGAGTGCTGAACCTCTGCGAAAACCGACGGAAGCCTCCGGCCCATGGCAGGTATCTCCTGAACTTCTTCCCTCCAAAGATGTGGACGAGCGGGTTCAGACAGCAGTGGGAATACGCTAAAATATGAGTGATACTGTAGATGTTCTCCAAAGCGTTTCCCCACTCCGCCTGCCTGAATACATCGACGCCTAAAGACCTCAAGGCGACGAGGAAGAGGAAGATGTTGTACGGCGCCCAGCAGAAGAAGAATCCCACTGCGATGCTTAAGATGATGCATAAAGCATGGTTTCTGCTTCTGATGCGGCTCCGATGGATGCTAAAACCCATCCGGGTGTAGCAGAACGCAATAACCAGGAATGGCAGCAGGAAAAAGAGAATAATCTGCGCGAAATATCCAAACAACTCCATAAACATTGAGTTGTATTTGGGAAAGCAGAACACTTCACCATGATTTTCCACAGTCTCAGAGAAGATCATTTCAGGCAGGCTGAACCCCACCGAAATCAACCACACTGCAGCAGACGAGGCGTGTGTGTACAGTCTGCTGTTGCCGACAGATGACGCGAACACCGGATGTACGACCGCCACGTATCGATGGACGGTCATGATTGTGAGGAACATCATGTAACTGTAAAGGCCCAAGAAGATGCACCCTCCGAACAGCCTGCAGGCCAGATCCCCAAAGATCCAGCCCCAGATGTGGTTCACGGTCCAGGGCACCAACGTGAAGGTGAAGATGAGGTCGGACGCTGTGAGATGAAGGAGCAAGCAGTCCGCAGAGCTGCTCAAACCCACCTTCTTCAAGACCACCCAAAGTAAAAAGCTGTTTCCTGGTAGACTGATGCAGATGATGAGACTGTAGCAAACGGCGCTGATCATCGCCAGTGAAAAATCCTCTTTCTCTAATTTAATCAAAGTGTAATCCACATAATCCGAGTAGTTATTATAATCATAGCTGAAATTATAGTCTTTCGGCAACGTGTCTATATTCATCGTCTGTAAAAAAAAAAAGTATCTATTACAAGAAATACTACTTCAGTCTTTTCTACTACCTTCTGTTTATTTAATAAAATGTGTTACAACATTTGAGTGAAAATTGTTTACACAGATTCAATAATGTGACCATATAAAAACCATATAAAATGTTTGCAATAAATATATCTACTTATTTCCCAAGGCGTCATTGCCAAAGCGTAGACATCCAACGCACATGGCAACCTTTAGCGTCAATATGAGACGCAGATATATATGGGCCAGAAGGCGCCTCCTAGTGGTCTAACCCTAACCCACACCTACTCGGTGCGTGTTTATATTGACGCTAAAGGGTGCCATGTGCGTTGGATGTCTACACTTTGGCAAAAGCGTCGAATATGACGCCTTGGGCTGAGAATGCGTTGCATATGCCACGCTAATGCTGCTTTTTTTTTTTTTTTTTTTTTTTACATGAATCACAAAAATATACATTTACACAATTCTTTTCCGTGCAATGACTATTTATAATGATCAAAAAGCACTATAAAGTTAGTTTTACAGCAACTGTAAATTCCAAATCTTTTGTAAGCCATGCAGAACAGAAAAAAAAATACAAAATTAGTACTTATACAAAGCTATAGTCATATAGCACATGAGTCACATAACCAATAGAGACTAAATAATGACCGAAATTTGTATTTTTTGAATGAACATTCTCTTCAAAGCCATTAGAAATGCAAGTGAAGAAAGAAATTTTAAAAAGCTGTAAAACAAGAAATACCTTACTTGTTGGTGTTCCTTAAATATTTGGCTTGTCTGTCATAGAGATACTGAAGAAAATATATTTGTTTTGCACGTTTCCCCCTCCAGTCACATGAACGTCCAGCCCACTCATTACCACCCGACTCATTAACACACATCTTCTCTATTATACATCTTAAAGTAAATCCCTGAACACAGTAGGGATAACACACATCATTTATACTATCACTCTTTTCATTTCTAATACAGTGAAAGAGTGCAAAAATAAACATGCATAGGCTACTAGGAGTTTTGCTCTTTGAAATATTATAAAATCTGAATTAAAACAAAAAGAAATGTAAAGAAATCTTTAAATAAACATCCATTTTTTTACTCTTTAAAGTATTATAGAAAAATATAATTTTATTAAAGTATATATAAATATAAATATATGTGTGTGTTGTGTTTGTATTATATAAACACATTTTGTTACATGTGATTAATATTTGACAGCACTAATTTAAAATTGTACATGTTTAAAAATATTTTTAAAATAAAAACAATATATTTTTTTACACCTATATATAAAAATGTATTTATTAATAAATGTATATATTACACGCTCTAAAAAATGGTGGGATATTTTAACCCAAATTTGGATCAAATATTGACAAACCCAGTAAATGAGTTAATGACATTTTTAACCCAAAGTTTGGGTTAGTCCATATTTTACCCAAAATTGGATTATATATATATATATATATATATATATATATATATATATATATTACAGTTTGCTTCATGATTATACACTCTAAAAAATGCTGGGTTGTTTTAACCCAATTTTGGGTCAAATATGGACAAACCCGAAATGTTGGGTTAAAAATGTAATGTAAAAATTTAACCCAACGGCTGGGTTAGTCCATATTTGACCCAAAGTTGGGTTAAAACAACCCAGCATTTTTTAGAGTGTACTAAATTAAAAAAATGTTGATTTTTTTTTTAAATATCAGTATATATATATATATATATATATTATATCTACACTCTAATCAATGCTGCACTCTAAAAAATGCTGGGTTGTTTTAACCCAATTTTGGGTCAAATATGGACAAACCCGAAATGTTGGGTTAAAAATGTAATGTAAAAATGTAACCCAACGGCTGGGTTAGTCCATATTTGACCCAAAGTTGGGTTAAAACAACCCAGCATTTTTTAGAGTGTGGGTTTTTTTAACCCAAATGTTGAGTTAAACATTTTAAACCAACTTCAGCTTTCACTTTCAACTGTATTTTTTTAATAACCCAACATTTAGTTTTGTCCATATTTTACCCAAATTTGAGTTGAAACAAGTCATTTTCAGGGAAAAAGGAGAGATTTGATATAAATGAAAATGCACTCTAAAAATGCACTGTTGTTTTAACCCAACTTTGGGTCAAATATGGACAAACCCAAACATTGGGTTAAAAATGTAATTAAAAAATTTAACCCAATGGCTGGGTTTGTCCATATTTGACCCAAAGTTGGGTTAAAACAACCCAGCAATTTTTTGAGTGTTAACACACTAAAATGTTTCTCTGGGAACAAACAGCCTATAGGCTACATCACTTTTGCACTCTCCATTTTCACATCGTGTTTAGCTCTGTGGCGTTTGTTTGTCTCACGTCACCGTTTCCAAGAGCTCCTTCATTTGTGTACGGATGAATCCTGGAGTCGCTGGGATCCGTGGCTCCTCTGTAGGGCCCCGACTGCCTGAGTTCAGGAGAGCAGAACAAAAAGCTGGACAAGAGATTCCTGTACTTCCCTCTGAGAATATACAGAGCTGGGTTTACACAGCAGTGCGAAAACGCCAGAATCCTGCAGACGACAAACGCAACATGCAGCTCGTAATGCTCGCAGGGATTAAACTCATAGATGGACATCATCACGATGATGATATGATACGGACCCCAGCATATGAAGAAAGCAATAACAATACACAGCACTAATACCACAGTCCTGTATTTCTGCCTGGTCTGCGTTGACATGAGAGTTATAATGATTTTGGTGTAACAGAAAACAATGAGGGCGAATGGTACGAGGAACAGCAGAATGAGTTGGGAATAATATCCCACATTATCATCGACGGTCATTGTGCTTTGGCAAGCGTAAGTGGTGACGTGGATTTTTTGTGCCTTTGAGGCAACCGAATCTCTCAAGCAAGCAATCACACTTATGATCCACGCACCGACACACGCGACTTTTGAACACTTGAGCCTTCGTCTCCGCGTTAGCCAACAACTTCTCACCACCACCACAACAAAACGGTCGAGGGTCATGGCCGTGAGAAGAATAAGACTTCCGTAGATTCCCACAAAATAGGCCCCGGTCATGATCTTGCAGGCGACGTCACCGAAAACCCAGTGATGAAGAAAGTCCACAACCCAGAAAGGCAACGTCAGTGTGAACAGAAGGTCGAAAAGTGCTAAACAGAACATGAAAAGGTTGGTGACCCTCTTCAAGTCTTCATAGCAAGTGAGTGCACATATGAGGAAGCCATTTCCAAGGATGCTCAGGCAGAAGACCGTGGCGTAGCAGACGGCTGTCATCTTTTTATAGTCATCAACTTCACACATTTTGATTAATTCACCTTCAGTCCCGTTGTATTCATAATCATCATCGCTGCTGGTTGAGTTGTTGCTGCTGCTGGTCAAGTTGGACGGTTCCATCTAGCACAAATATAAATGAGCATTCACAACATTTCGAATCAAAGTCATGCACTTTTAAAAATATATGCAACTGTTTCTTGCATCATCATGAAAGAACACGAAATGCCTACCTCAAGGTTTGTATTTGACCGGGTTGAATAACATCTAATGGAAAAATGTCTAAGTGACAATAGAGATCACACTTTTGTCTAGTCATTTCCTTTTGCTAATGCAAAGCAGTTTCACAATGAATGTGTGGCTTGGCACTGTCTTCTGGGAAGTTTAAAACACTCTTTACAGATTGGTCTACAGATCCTAAGACACCGTAAAACACTTTTTTTTTTCAAAGTCGCGAATAAAACAAAGATGACTACATTTTACAATAAAATTCTAAAATTCTAGTCTTTCAAAATTTCACATTTAATTCAATGCCATTTCTTTGTTTTTGTAGAATTTCTGGGTGAAAATGAAGAGTTCAGATGCAAAAGCCTCTAAATGCCATTTGAATTTTTTTTCTTTAATGATGATTTTTATCAAACTTGTATATTTAAGTTCAGTGATTTCACTTAAATAACAATTAATAGCTAATTATCATTGCCATTTAAGTGAAATCACTGAACTTAAATATACAAGCTTGATAAAAATGATTATTCTAGAAGAAAATTTTAAATGGCACTTAGAGGCTTTTGCATCTGAACTCTTCAAATGATTTTTACATAATTTTCCCCCCTCAGTGTATTTACATTATTGCGGATTTAAGCTATTCCAGTTCCTTAATTCTTTTCCTTGAAGCATATAAAAAAATATATATATACTTTTGAAACAGTTCTTGCAAAAGGTTGGATTTTAAGTGAGTTTTCACTGTTTTTTTAGTAAGCAGCATATCCAATGCTATCCAAATACTGCCTTTTATATGAATATTTTTACATCTGCTTTTGGACCAGTGGCAGACAGGGGGAGAATTGGGGAAACCTGTATGAAAACAGTCATCATTTTGCGATTCTGTTTAAGGTCCCTAATGGCCCAGACATGACACACACAAAAGACATTGAACTATTAATCTAGACAACTTATTAACAACTATTTCCATATTATAGCGCACACATAAGGTTTGCAGTTTATTTTTAATGTTTGTGGCTCATAAATGACACTTGTGACAGAAGTGAAAATATTTATTGCACATGTTTTCAAAGACATTCAAAAATCAGAACTATATTGATGGATAATTTTCACTCAGTTTGAGTTTGTAGCAATTGTAAAAGTGGCGAACTTGCATATGTTGTGCGATTTCTTTTTAAATCGCTTATTGTTGTTAGTAAATTAGTAATTAGGAAAATGTGAATGGTGACGCCTTGGGAGTGAGAATGGGCTGGTGAAACACATAATGACAAATGCAGTTGTTTACTATATACACCCCATATTAGTTAATCATTTGTTGCATGAAGTATGAAAGAAAGAATATATACAATGCAAATGAATTTAACACAGTAAATGTATACACTCTAAAAAATGCTGGGTTATTTGAACCCAACTTTTGGTAAAATATGGACAAACCCAAATGTTGGGTTGAAAATGCAATTTAATAAAATTACAGTTGAAAGTTAAAGTTGAATTTGGGTTAAAAATTGACATTACATTTTAACCCAACATTTGGGTTTGCCCATATTTTACCCAAATTTGGATTCAAACAACCCAGCATTGTTTAGAGTGTAAACATGAAAAATTGCATCTGATTTTGAGTGCTTTTTTAAATGCAGTTTTAGTAATGGAAAAGATTTTTAAACGTTTGTTTTTCACTTTACATTGCATTCATTTTCTTGCTGAAAATCAGTTTTATGCTTTAAGCATACATTGCTAATACATTGATATTTCTTCGCCGTTGGAGTAAATAAGCCTGCTGTGTCGATTCTGAGGCTCGTTGTTCTTCTTACGGAAAGCCCATGACATTTTCTTCAAGTGGTTTCTGAACTTTATCCCCATAAAAACATAAAACACAGGATTCAGGCAGCAGTGTGATAAAGCCACCATGCGAGAAATGTACATCCAATAGTCGACAGATCTGCTGACCTCACACTCATTAAAAGGAGAGATTCCCCACGAAGTCAGAGAGTCCAGAAATATGGCCACGTTGTACGGCCCCCATCCCAAGAAAAAAAACACCACTATGAAGAAGATGAGCTGCACTGTCTTCTTACGGGTGTGAGATGTTGGCCGAAGCAGCCGTGTAAGGATCACAGTGTAGCAAAAAGCAATGATCACAAATGAAACAACAAAAAAGAAGTTTTGCAAGTATACGGTTTGAAGCTTCCAGTTAATTTCACCCTCAAAATCACAAAGCTGCACTGGCGTTGTTTCATCTGCGTCCACGACGGAGTTGAACATGGCTTGTGGGATGGCAGCGCAAAAACTGATGATCCAGATTACAATTGAGGTGGCGTAGCAGTGCAGGCTCTTCCGAGACATGACCACTGACATGGGGTGGACCACGGCCATGTAGCGGTGGACAGTCAAAACGGTCAGGAAGATGATGCTGCTGTAATATCCGGTGTAGAAGACGTAGTTAACTGCTTTGCAAGCAGGATCTCCAAGAGTCCAGCCATACATGTAGTAGTAGGCCCAGAACGGCAGGCCAGAGGTGAAAATCAGATCCGAGATAGCCAGATTCAACAAGAATGTGTTGGTGAGGGATTTCAGATTTTCATACTTCGCGAGGACATACAGGACCAATGTGTTCCCCACGCAGCTGAACAGAACAATGATGATGAAAAGGATTGGTGTGACGGCTCTTCCAAATTGGTCAACTTTTGTCTTGTCACATACTCCGTCGGCGTCGCTTATGTTATAGTCATAATAATAATCAGACTCAATGTTATTTTGGTCTGCCATCTTGATGCACAGTGTAAAACAAAGCGATATTTAGGTTAATACAAAAATGAGGTGATGATAGACCCTCTGAAAGGAGGAAAACATGGACCTGAAGAATAAAGAAATCTTTTGTTTTTCTTGTGTTACACAACTATAAATTTGTGTAGATAAAGACTGGGCACTAATGTAAAAATTAAAAGGTTTAAATCCAGCCTAGTGTATAATATAATATAAATAATTAATGATTGCATTGATAATTATTGCAAATGTTCACTTCAGAAATATGGAGAGATGAGTTATATCACTTACCGTTATGAAATTCTACGGAGAAAACTTGAATGGATTCGGGTTATAGCAGGCTGAGCGAGTGTAACCTAAAAACTATGAAACTTTCTGAGTGTATTTTTGTTCCTATTAGAGTATCAGTAAAGAGTACAGTTTAAAGAGCAAAGTTTAGATTAGTCATTTGTTTTTTCCTGGACATATAACCAAAACGTATACCACGGGACCACACTGAATCAGCTAACCACGTATGCTTGCTAGTGTCAAAGCTGCGGTGAACTGAACGAACTGAGGAATGTGCGAGAAATTAATTTTTTTCTTTGTAACTCTGCAAATTATAGACATTCTGCAGTGAAATATGCACACATGCTCAACAGTATTAAACAATACATGCTAATGTAAACCAAGTCAAGCATTATCTGTAGATGTATCAATTCATGAACTTAATTACAGAAGAATTTGATTCATTAATATATATCATAATTATAATCTAAATCTTATTGGTACTCTCAGAAAATTCCCAAAGAAACTCGAGTATGAGGCCATGGCTAACATGCAAGCATTTGACATTGCATTTACAGAACTCACGCTATAATTGCATAATTATCAGACAATAGTTAGTCCTCTGAACATATTTTGCATGGTGGCAGAACATCCTGAAAGGTGTTTCCTGAATAAATGTGCTATAGGTTGTACATCTGACCAGGTTTTCTAATGCTCATGCGATGCACTCTAAAATGTGTTTTTAATTTACATATCTTCAAAAAGTTGAAGGAAGTGATTTGAGACCCTTGAGAGACAGTATCAACTACTCAAGGGTGGAACCACTATGTTTGCACACGACCACATCCTCTGCCAGTATCTCAGTTTATTTTTAATGTTTGTGGCTCATAAATGACACTTGTGACAGAAATGCAGGACAAATATTTATTGCACATGTTTTCAAAAACATTAATGAATCAGAACTATATTGATGGATAATTTTCACTCAGTTTGAGTTTGTAGAAATCGTAAAAGTGGAGAACTTGCATATGTTGTGCGATTTCCTTTTTTAAATCGCTTATTGTTGTTAGTAAAGATATTTAATGTTAATTGATCTAATTAGGAAAATGTGAATTATTTGAAACACATGCATAAAGTCAAATGCAGTTGTTTATTATATACACCCCATATTAGTTCATTATTTGTTGCATCAAGTAAAAGAAAGAATATATACAATGCAAATGAATTTAACACAGTAAATGTATGTAAACATGAAAAATTACATCTGATTTTGAGTGCTTTTTAAATGCAGGTTTGGTAATATAAAACATTTTTAAAAGTTTGTTCAATTACAGTACAGACACTTTACATTGCATTCATTTCGTTGCTGAAAATCAGTTTTATGCTTTAAGCATACATTGCTAATACATTGATATTTCTTCGCCGTTGGAGTAAATAAGCCTGCTGTGTCGATTCTGAGGCTCGTTGTTCTTCTTACGGAAAGCCCATAACATTTTCTTCAAGTGGTTTCTGAACTTTATCCCCATAAAAACATAAAACACAGGATTCAGGCAGCAGTGTGAGAAAGCCACCATGCGAGAAATGTACATCCAATAGTCGACAGATTTGCTGACCTCACACTCATTAAAAGGAGAGATTCCCCACGAAATCAGAGAGTCCAGAAATATGGCCACGTTGTACGGCCCCCATCCCAAGAAAAAAAACACCACTATGAAGAGGATGAGCTGCACTGTCTTCTTACGGGTGTGAGATGTTGGCCGAAGCAGCCGTGTAAGGATCACAGTGTAGCAAAAAGCAATGATCACAAATGAAACAACAAAAAAGAAGTTTTGCAAGTATACGGTTTGAAGCTTCCAGTTAATTTCACCCTCAAAATCACAAAGCTGCACTGGCGTTGTTTCATCTGCGTCCACGACGGAGTTGAACATGGCTTGTGGGATGGCAGCGCAAAAACTGATGATCCAGATTACAATTGAGGTGGCGTAGCAGTGCAGGCTCTTCCGAGACATGACCACTGACATGGGGTGGACCACGGCCATGTAGCGGTGGACAGTCAAAACGGTTAGGAAGATGATGCTGCTGTAATATCCGGTGTAGAACACGTAGTTAACTGCTTTGCAAGCAGGATCTCCAAGAGTCCAGCCATACATGTAGTAGTAGGCCCAGAACGGCAGGCCAAAGGTGAAAATCAGATCCGAGATAGCCAGATTCAACAAGAATGTGTTGGTGAGGGATTTCAGATTTTCATACTTCGCGAGGACGTACAGGACCAATGTGTTCCCCACGCAGCTGAACAGAACAATGATGATGAAAAGGATTGGTGTGACGGCTCTTCCAAATTGGTCAACTTTTGTCTTGTCACATATTCCGTCTCCTTGGCTTATATTATAGTCATAATCATAATCAGACTCACTGTTATTTTGGTCTGCCATCTTGATGCACAGTGTAAAACAAAGCGATATTTAGGTTAATACAAAAATGAGGTGATGATAGACCCTCTGAAAGGAGGAAAACATGGACGACATGTCTGTTACACAACTGAAATTTGTGTAGATAAAGATTGGGCACTAATGTAAAAATTAAAAGGTTTAAAACAGCCTAGTATAATATAATAGAAATAATTAATGATTACATTGATAATTGTTGCAAATGTTCACTTCAGAAAAATGGAGAGATGAGTTATATCACTTACCGTTGTGAAATTGTACAGAGAAAACTTGAATGGAATCGGGTTATAGCAGGCTGAGCGAGTGTAACCTAAAAACTATGAAACTTTCTGAATGTATTTTTGTTCCTATTAGAGTAACCCACCCAATAAATGATGCTCAGATCCCTCATCCTCAACCTCAATAGGCCAATGCCCTTTTTTCTGTTCCTTACAGATTAATTTGCTAGATCAAGAGAGACCTTGCCATTTGACAAAAATGGACTTGCAAGAAAGTTTAATCAAAAGAAATCACATTGGGTTGATCAACAGGCCTATATATTAAATATAGATTATGTTGAACACAGACTTTGCTACTAATTAACTTTTACTATCATCTCTTTTTATGAAGCAGCAGCTAATAAAGCACTCTATAAAGAAGCAGTGGGCTATATGCACGCATAAGTTCCGCATTTGACGCAAGGATGCTGCTCGTCCATTTCCGGTTGTGGAGATTTAAGCGGAGGAGAACAGAGGAAAACGGGATTATGGCAGAGTCTTCAAAATTTACTGTCCTCCCGTCTTTGAAACGAAACGTACATACGTTTAGCCTAATTTTATATATAGTTATGTTTATTTAATATAATTTTAAAAAGAAGCATAAACACAACGAGGGGTGTTTGTTTTATCTGTTTTTGTGACTAACGTTTTTTTATTATAACCATGGAGTATAAAATTCAATATAACGTTAAATTCTCGGTATTGCATTGGACTCCACGATCGGCGGAAGTTATCGAGCATCCTTAATCCTTCACCGGAAATACCGCCGTGCATAGAGCCCATTGATAAATCTAAAATTTCACTGCTGGAACTTAAAAGTGCCTGTAGTTGCAGAAACACCGTAAAACTGACAGTTAATGGTCGATTTTGATGTTTCAATCCGTGTTAAATGTATCTGGTCATACAGTGACACTCGTATTGTAACATATTATTTGTTAACACCTGAGTTTGTTTGTGTTTTTGATGATGCATCACATGACTACTTGTTTAACTGTTGGGACTCGGGGTCAAAGGAGATGGATGACAGATTAAAGCTGCTTACTTTATGCGGTGAATTTCATCTTCATAAATGTAAAGTAACTGAATCTAAGCCCAACTTTCAACTTTTTTGTGTTGATTTAAAATTATTTTACGACTCTCTTTGTTTATCAGCTAATAAGAAAGCTGCTAAAACTACTTTGTTGCTTAAAAAAATTATGGTTTCTTTGTAAATCACCTCCTGTATTGATGTGCTTGTTTCGTGATCTTTTTTTGTTTGTTTTTTTGTTTATTGAACGGTCCCTTTTGTACTGCCTTGCTTACGTCGTCTTTGTGCATAATGTTTTTTTTTTTTTTTTTTTTTTTTTAATTGTATCTATTTTTCTACTTAATGTATCCCCTGTGCTTTGTGTTCAATAAAAAAAAAAAAAAAAAAAAAAAAAATACTTGTTTAACTGCGTTTATCGTGCAACCAAACTTGGTGCTGGACAAATGCGCTTCTGCGTTTTCTTCTCTGATTGGTCCAGCGTGCTGTCAGTCAATCTAAGGAACCGTCTCCTAAAATGGCAGCAGGGTTGTATCTATTGTAAACACTCGATGAGGAAAGATCATCTTTCTGTAAAGTACGTCTTACGTCTATTTATCTTTATTTACATCAGTTTATCCTATATGCGTCTATTTATCCTAACGATTTACTGTTTTGGTTGAAAAATGACTAAAACGATAGCTGCTATACGCTGTTCAGAAGTTGTAAAGTTCAGCAGGTGCGTTAGTCTCCTCAGTTTCATTTAAAGATTAAAAATAATTTTCGTTTTTTTAAATCATGGTAGTCATAATATATTATCTAAGGGTTTGTGAATTTTTGGAATTTCTCCACGTTTAAAAACAAAAGTAAAACTCTTTTACAAAAGTAAAACTGTCTAATGCACCTGCATGACTCATGAATACATTAATTATTCTCTTCTAATGCTCTTTTATGTTATAATACAAAGTAAAAGTACCATCACATATTATGTTTTTATTACATCGTATACTGTCATAAACAGTTTGAGATTTACAGTTTTATTATTGTCTTTATTCTTTTAGTACAACCCTGTTTTTTTCTTTGGTTTTACAGGCATAATGTTGACTTTATGAACCATCCACACTAACATATTCAGCCCATCATGAGCACAGTGGGAGAAAACCAGCTGCAGAGAATAATCCGAGATCTGCATGGTAAAATATCTCTTTCTCTCCCTCACACCCTCAGTGTGATTTATTGCATGTGCACACAGTCATGTGAACTGAGTGTCTTGACACTGATTGGCCAAGAAATGTTAAAGCTTATACTAGAGACAGACACCACATTATTTCCCCACTTACTCCATATTCTCATCGGTATTCATCAAGCATGATATCTACATGTGACGTGTTGAAATTATCATTTGTGGTATTCGTGTATTGGTGTTTAATTGTTAATATAATGTTTCTCATTACTGTGAGGTGCAGTTAATTGGTCAAGGTCTCACTATAACGAAGTTTGGAACTAGTTTCACTTAACTCAAACATCATGCAGTCGCTTATAAAATGGAACAATAGCCTAAAAACCAGGGCTTGAAATGAACTTTTTTGCTCACCAGCTACTGTTGCTATTGGTTTTTCAAAGTTATAGCCACTCAGCATTTTCACTGGCCACAATGTTGATGTCGATACCTTGTGGCAAAACTGCCACAAGTTTGGGTTTGTGTGTCACTCGCTGTCAGAGTATGTGATCGTCTATCTATTCTGAGGAAAATTAGTGTTGAAGTGTTTCAGATATTTCAGTATTGATATTTTATGTATTGAAAAATCAATATTTTTGACAAATGTATGTATTATATATAATTTTCAACCAGCCAAGGTGGCTGGTGATTGGAGTGACTGCGTTGCACAAAACATTTGAAATTCACCCGGGGTTAATGTCAAGCCTTGATAACAATATTATATATATATATATATATATATATTTTTTTTTTCTTTTTATTTATATTTATATTTATTTATAACTTTGAATGTGAATTACACTACACCTGCAGATGCAGTTTCTGAGTTGAGCAAAGAACATTGTGAAACTGGAGAGCCCGTCACCGATGACAGTTCCAGTCTTCACAAGTTCTGCTATAAACTGGAGTACCTACTGCAAGTATGGCACTGATTTTTATAGTTTTACATTTAATGCTTGTGAGATTTCTTTGTTTATCATGAACTAGTTAAAATTAGGGCCGCCTGGAATCTGCACCTAAGAATTCAATTGGTTGTAATTCACAAAGTTCTACACATCTCTGCCCCATCTATGTTCATTTATTGGATTTATAACTACCAATAATAGTGGAGGACCTTCAGCTCTGTTTAACTTTTTTTTTTTTTTACCGTATTTAAATAAGGGTCTGATAATTTCATCCACACTCATTTTCTCCCTATTATGAGTCAGAGAACATAATTAAATTGATACGTAAATGTTATAGCATTGTTTTTTTTTAATAATTAGTTAAATTAATACAATTGGAATTAATGTTCTTAATTTAATTCTAAATCATTATATTATCATAAAATATTATCATTATATAATCATAAATATTTTTTTTATATTTTTATTTTTTATTTGAATTTTAGTTCTAGTTTTAGTCATTTTCTTATGCGCTTTTGTCGTTTTTATTATGTTTCCCCCCTGTATAGATTTAATCCTTTCCCCCCAGTTTTAGTAATTCTTATTAACTTAAATCTGTTTTATTTCAGTTATTTGCCAAAGCAGCATTTCTCATTTTTTGTTTTTGTTTTTAATGTAATATTTATATTTTACTTCAATTACCGAAACATATTTGAATAGTTACAGATTTAGGTTTAGTTAAGAAGAGCAAAACTGACTTGACAACTGTAATTTGTAATAATAATACTTTATATATATATATATATATATATATATATATATATATATATATATATAAACCTGGCAATAATTTATACCCATTCCACACATTTTCGCCCACAATCAGTGCAGGAAGTGTTGAACAATTTTGCAGATTCTGGTGGAACTAGTTGTAACTTGATCAAAAGTGGAATGTCATGTAGAATGCCAGTCGTTACACCTAAACAAGATTATTGTAGATCTTCTCATGTCGTGACCTGAAAGATTGGTGATTTCCGAATTCATATTCAACCAAAAGCCGTGTTTACAGTGATTGTTTTGAGATTAACCTGTTGACCGTTTTGTCCAGTTTGACCAGAAAGAGAGAACCACATTTCTGGGCAGCAGGAAAGACTACTGGGACTATTTCTGTGACTGCTTGTCCAAGATTAAAGGAGCTAATGACGGCATTCGCTTTGTCAAATCAATCCCCGAGGTAATCCACTGTACGAGCCCAAATCTCTGCAGGAAAACATCTCTTCAGCCAGTGCGTGTTTAGCTCCTGCACACCTTCTCATTTCTCTTTCACAGTTTCATGTCGCTGTTTTTCTGACATTTCATATACATATTATTTTTTTTTTTTATCTTCACCTCTCCGGAGGGTTTCAAGAAGGAAGCAATGACACTCAGCCTCAGGTTGGTCATGTGCTGTAGCAGTAGAGGCTCTCGCAAATATTATTGTTCTGTTCATTTACCAAAGAATTGCACATTATTTTTCATTTTTCATTTTATTGTTTATTTTTACAGGGACAATGCACAATTAAAAGTAATTGCACCAGAATTAGCTAATAGCTAGTTTACATCTGCTGTCCCTGGGCAGGAAGACAAATAAAATAACATACATTACATATACACCACATGAAGCATCACAGTATATATATGTAGAATATCAAATTTAAAACCAAAATATAAAACATATTTTATACACAGGTAGGTGAATTTTAGAGCATGCATCACTATTACTATTACTGTGGGTTAGAAAGAAACCACTATTAAACTTTGGCACACAACGATACCTTAAATCATGCAGCTTGCTGTGTAGAGGTTAGCTATTACTTTTTTAATGGACCAGACTTAATTTATCAGTTCGGTTGGACAAAAATTAGGTGTAAAAATCATTGAAGTAGGAACCTGAGCCTTATCTTGGGACCAGAATATTATTATTATTTTGGCCTGTTGTGGATCTAAGCAGCATTTGCCCTGGCTACAGTATGCAACCACTAGCACACCCACACCTTAGAAACCCCTTAGCAACACTTTAGCAATCTCCCATAACACACATCGAAACTTCAGTTCTATATGTATTGTATTCTCACACTCATTCCTGTACCATTTTTTTTCAGAGTAGGCTTTAGTAAGATGTTATCAATCTCTTTGTGTACTGTACTGTTCCCAACAGAATCATTTTAAGACACTAACCTGTTTTACTCGCAGTTTAAAATTCAATAGATTATTAGGACTTTTTCCTTTTTTTCTCTCCTTTGAAGAACAACTCTCACTTATACATACAACAATTCCTCCGCCTCTGAAATGCAGGTTTATGTGAGTCCAGAACAAATCCAGAAATCCAGCATCAGCTGTAGTAGTGTAATGTTTCCATCTGGTGTCCTTATGCTCTTTGGTCACCCACTGTAATCCTCCATCTGTTCTCCTGACCATACTGTACCAGAGACAGACATTGTTTGTGGTTAGAATGGCATATTACCATACTATTCATACAATAATTTCAGTTTTGAGTGCGTGTACTACAAACATTTTCTGTATACATGGAATCCCCAGAGGTCCTATTACTATATTAGCCAAATTGTGCAGAATACAACCAGAGCACACTGCATGGATAGTGTATCCCACTATGCAGTGCACTTACCTCGACCTTTCATTTCTAGTGTGCCAGACCAGCAAGAAGCAATATTGAACATGATTTAAATTTTAAAGTGCCTCTATTATGCCATTTTTAAAGGTTCCTAATTTTGTTTTGGAGATCGCCTACAACAGGGTTACATGCATCAAATGTAAAAAAAAAAAACACTTTAATTTTCTCTTAATTTACAGTGCACATCGCCTCATTTTTTAATGATTCTCAATTGACTCGTCGGATGAATCAGTCTCTCTAAACCCCTCCTTTCCTTGAGCCTACCCTGCTCTGATTGGCCAGATGGCCCAGTCTTATTCATTTCACTTTTGGTGTCGAATGGCCTTCAAACGATCAAACGATTAATCGCATCCAAAATAAAAGTTTGTGTTTACACAATATATGTGGGTGCACTGTGTATAATTATTTTATATATAAAAAGACACACACACGCTTGTATATATTTAAGAAATATTTTCATGTATATACTGTATATAGATTTGTATATAATTTATATTATATATAAATATAAATATTTTATGTATAAATAATATTTTTTCTTAAACATACATGCATGTGTATGTATTTATATATATATATAAAATAATTATACACAGTCCACCCACATATATTACGTACACACAAACTTTTATTTTGGATGCGATTAATTGTTTGACACAAAAGTAACACAACAAAATACTTTCCATAAAAAGGTCCTTTAGTTATTTTTTTAGAGAGCATTTCGGCAGGTCAGCATCCATTCATTCTTTTAGGAGACAACTCACTTTATTTCTCATGCACTTTAATCTTTAAAACCCTTGTAGACCTTTTAGCTATATTACACATTGCATGAAAGGTAATATTTGGAAAAAGCATAATAAGAGCACTTTAAAAATGAACTATAATGTCGTGATCTTTGTTTTTTAAGCAGATAATCTGTACACTGACCTTTGAACTAAGTAATATTGTTTCTTTTCAAATGATTCTCAGGTGTTATTACACTGTAAAAATTTAAATACAGTTTATTTGAGATTTGTTTTATAAGAAAATACAATTTCAGTCTTGTTTACTTCAAAGCTTCATGTTTAATGCAATGCTCATTATATTTCTGAGTGAAAATTGTTTCTACACCAAATTTGTTTTCAGTGTATTTCTTTTGTGTTTTTGAAGCTGTTGTGTTGTGGTCAGTGCCAAACTTGTGTAATTTATATATAGTTAACATGAACATATTTCATTCTCAGGTTTCTGTGATTTTAAAACATGTACATCTTTTTAATCAAATGCAATGTCTGTATTTATTTTGTGTGAATTTAGCTGAAGACGTCATTGGGGAAAGGACGGGCTTTCATCCGCTACGGTCTGGTGCACCAAAGGCTGGCAGACACTCTTCAGCAATGTCTTATGAACTACAAAATCACCTGGTAATGTGTTCACCAACAATTTGACCATCTTAATGGGAATTTCTCTTAATACATGTACAGTAATAGCTCAAAATCCATTGTTTTGCTATCTCAAGTGCAAAGTATCATTTGTATTTCTACACTAGTAAAATGTTTATATGATATGGTATTAAACAAAAATTAACATGAGATAGAATGATAGAATGCAACAGTATGACATTCGAGTGTCTATAATATCAGTATGATGCCTGAGACTTGTAAACTTGTAAACAACCAAACTCCTGTGCAAACTGTAACCACACTCGACTTTCTAAGTGTGGTGAAGAATTCACACGAACATAATGTGTATGCATGAAACTAGCACTTCTAAACAACTTTAAAAGGTTTAGGCTTCAGCAAATTAGTCTACAATAAATTGCACGTAATATTTATTTTGCGTATAACACAACATGATCATGTGAATAAAGAGTGTTGATGCATTAGTGCATATATTAATGCATTAATTCAAAAGTCATAGTTGTCCCCAGTATCACAGCTTTTGCAAACAGAAGTGTTGACGCTTCCACACATTAATTTCTCTTCCTCCAACCACTTTCACTTCTCTTTTAAAAGTTATTGTCTCAAAGTAGCATACTTGCATGTAATGTCAGCGATTTTTATTGTAAGACTGACAACACAGGATTTGCTGCCCAAAAAGGCCTGTGTTTGTGCTATGAAAGCAAAACTAAATTCACTGAAATGCAGTGTGTAACATCTCTTAGAAACAAACTTTCTGTGAACTGAGAACTGATTTTTGTTTCTCACAGTGAGTGGTATTATGAACGCAGTCCCTTCTTGAAGTCCCATCTGAACATCGATATCATCAACCACCTGTATGAACTCAATGAGGTCCAGTTTGATGTAGCATCCCGAGGTCATGACCTTGACTCTGACTGGCCTACCTTTGCTAGGTAATTCCTAAAGTTTCAATCTACAGTATATCACAATAGTAATGTACAAGTATTGACTTAATCTGTTTTTATTAGCATCATTACAGTTTTTGTAAGCATTTAATTTGAGAACTCCAGTCAATTTTAAAGGGTTAGTTCACCCAAAAATTAAAATTCTGTCAGTATTTACTCACCCGCATGTTGTTCCAACCCCGTAAGACCTTCGTTCATCTTGGGAAAACACATATTAAGATATTTAAGATATTAAGATCGCGCCTGCATACTCGTCCATAGGCTTCTTGAGGGAATGACACTTGCTGGCCTCAAAGTCATTAAAGGCATCGTTAAAATAGTCCAAGTGACTACAGTGGCTCAATTTTAACTTTATCAAACAGCGAGAATACTTTTTGTGCGCAAAAACAAACAAAAATAACGACTTTATTTCAACTATTCACTTCCTTCTCGTCACACGTAGGCTCACTATTGGCCGACGCTGGTCATGTGTGTGATGCGTGTGACGTACAATAACAGAAGCTTACGCTATTAAACTAGTAACCTGACTCGAGGCAGAGGGAGAAATAAACGAATAGTTGAAACAAAGTCGTTATTTTAGTTGTTTTTGTGCACAAAAAGTGTTCTCGTCGTTTGATAAACTTAAGATTGCGCCACTGTAGTCACTTGGACTATTTTAACGATGTCCTTTAATGACTTTTCGAGGCCAGCAAGTCATTCCCTCAAGAAGCCTATGGACTAGTATGCAGGAGCGATCTTAATATCTTAAATATCTTAATTTGTGTTCAGAAGATGAACGAAGGTCTTACGGGGTTGGAACAACATGAGGGTGTGTAAATACTGACAGAATTTTCATTTTTGGGTGAACTAACCCTTTAACATTGAACTCATTTTTTGTACATTTGGAGTGCTGTCAATACAGACAAAAACGACAAAAATCGGTGTTGTCTACACCGTGTTATCCTCTTTTTAAAATTCGCACCTCGCACCGTGTTGACTTCAATGGGGCATGTTCTAAACCTGCTTTTAGCCTCTTAATATCCTTGATTTGTTATTAAGAGTGACCACGGGCAATCTGACTGCAGTAGATGTGAAAGATATTAGTACAAATGATGTTAATTCAGCTAGCTCACATTCCTGTATTTACTTCCTGTTTTCGGTCGAAGTCCACGGTAGTCCATTGTTGAGTTCGCGCGCGCGACCTTTGGTAAAAATGGTAAAAAAACTTAAAAACCTCCTCCGTGTGTTCAATATCTGATTCGGATGAACTATCCATTTGAGCTGATATTCGCTGATCTATATCCGCTGACAGTCTGAGTCTCCACTGTTGCTTAGTTACCAATGATCGTGCGTGCAAACTCGACAATCGACTACTGTGGACTTCGACCGAAAACAGGAAGTAAATACAGGTATGTGAGCTGGCTGAATTAACATCATTTTTATTAATATCTTTCACATCTACTGCAGTCAGATTGACCGTGGTCACTCTTAATAACACCACTCACATGGCTGTGCACTTGTAATGACAAATCAAGGATGTTAAGAGGCTAAAAGCAGGTTTAGAACTTGCCCCATTGAAGTCAACAGGGTGTGAATTTTAAAAAGAGGATAACAAGGTGTAGGCAACACCGATTTTTGTCATTTTTGTCTTACTGACAGCACTCCAAATGTACAAAAAATGAGCTCAATGTTAAAATTGACCGGAGTTCTCCTTTAATTTCGCTTTCACATACAAAAAAAAAAAACTGTATAATCCAAGTACTTTAAGTATTTGCATATGAATTAGGCATCAGGAGTGTAGTATACAGAAGGGTATAGCCTACAATGACTTAGTAACTGTATCTAAGCTCTAGATAAATGTGTACTTTTTTAGCCTATGTAATTCAAATGAGCAATACAAATTGCATGCTTATTATGTTTGTTTGTTTTTTCACACATAAAGAAGGACTTTGGGTTCAGCTGTCTCATCTGCCCATGTGTGGAAACCACCCAGTCGCTGCTCAAGTGTCAACAGTCTGGTCAGCAGTTACTCACAGGTTTGCTAAAACATTAGAAACAGTATTAAAATGATCAGTTCTGTTCATATCCTCACAATCTTTGGATATACGTTGTCAGATTTATTAAGTAATGTATTCATTTCATGTTGTGGAGCTGTGCTGTGTAATATTGTCTGTCAGTAGTTCAATTAAATGGATAATCCACTGTTTTTTTTGGAAATAGGCTCATTTTACCACTCACCCAGAGTTAAACAGTTGGGTTTTACCGTTTTCAAATCCATTCAGTCGATTTTCTGATATTTAGAAGAATATCAGTAACCAGACAGTTTCTGGTCTCATTGACTTCCATGGTAGGAAAAAATATATACTATGGAAGTCAATGAGACCAGAAACTGTCTGGTTACTGATATTCTTCTAAATATCAAAAAAATCGGCTGAATACATTCGAAAACGGTAAAACCCAACAGTTTAACTCTGGGTGAGTGGTAAAATGAGCCTATTTCCAGAAAAAAGTGGAGTATCCCTTTAAAAAATAGAAAAGAAAGCTAGTACTTACTTGGCTATTATGCAATTAACACTGATGTCTGTTTTCCTGTATCTGTACCACCAATTTAATTTTGGATTCAATACCACAACACCAGTAATTTAGTGTCGTTCATGATCAACAATGGACTAGTTTGAGTGGTTGCATTTTAATTTTTTTCACTTTTGTTGTTAAATTAAAATTTCCCCTCATGCAGCAAGCTCAGGAGTTTCTTCCAGGCCAAGAATTTGGGTCCAGTCTGCTAGGTGATCTGGGTGAGTTGGGCGAGCTGTCTTGTAGCCCTTCTGAGGACCTACGCATTGAGCTTGACCAATCTGAGTTGAGACAACAAGAGCTCCAAGAGAAGGTTCATCAGCTCACCAGTGAGGCAGCTGATCTTAGAGCCGTGCTCAGTGACCTACAGGAACAACTCCTGGCTAAAAGACCTAATCAAGAGAAAGAAGGAGAACAGTCCTCAGGGGAGGCTCTCCATACCACCCAACAGGAGCTGGAGTCTCTGCAGACATCAGAACGCAAGCTAGAAGCCAAGCTGAGCATTGCGGAGAACAGGAACATGGAGTTGCTGTCAAAGCTTGATGGAGCTCTGAGCGAAAAGGGACAGCAGGCCGCCAACTACTGCGACTCAGCCTGGACGATCCAAGAGCTCCTGACCAAGCTAAAGGAGGCTGAAGAAGAGAGGATTGAGTCTAAACGAGAGAGCGAAGACCGAGCTAGACTAGCTGAGCGACTTGCCCAGGATCTGACGCTTCAGGAGGAGAAAGTAAAGGAGATGAAAGGAAAACTGGACACATGTAGAGTTTCCGCCGACAAAGAACGAACAACTGCAAAGCAACAGGCTGATGAGCTGCAGGTGACCATTAACCGCCTTCAGGGAGATCTATCTCTGAAGGAGCGGGAAACTGGGAATCTCCAGACACAGCTTCAGGACTTGCAAAAGGCATTGGAGGCCCAGGAGAGTCAACTGGAGGAGCACAAGAAAAGGATGCAAGATGAGTTGCAACATAAAAGTGTGCTTGAAGAGAAACTAAATGCAAAGCTGAATGAGTTATCCATCAGTACCCAGAAGATTCGGCAACTGGAGAATCACAACCAGCGGTTGACTGCAGAGAGTCAGAGCTTTCAAGGGCAAGCCAAGAAACTGGAAGAGTACAAGACCCAGTGCACAAGTTTAATGGAGATCAATGCCAAGCTCATCCAGACTGTGAAAAGACACGAGGACAGCAGCAAAGAGCTGGCACAAACCAAGACCGCTCTAGAGAGAGAACTGATCACTGCACAGGCCTACGAGAGGCAACTGATGAGCAGACTGGAGTCAACTGGACTGACTGTAGAGAACCGAAATCTGGACAAGTGCATACAGAACGGCCAAACTGAATTTGAACAAATTGCGGAGAAGAGTATATCGAGCGTGGAAGAATTAGATGACAGTGCCACAGTCCCACAGCAGAGAACATCTAGACAACTACTTGAAGCCGTTGAATCCTCAAGAAGTGAAAATGGAGAATCCACTTCCAGGTTGGCTCTGGCTGAGGCCCAACTTGAACTCAACATGAAGGAGGTTTCCAGACTTCAGGAGGAGGTCATGGAGCTCCGGGCACAGCTATTGGTGAGCTCAGAGGAGAGGATGAAGATCCAGGCTCTACAGGAAGTGACAGAAGCCTCCAGAGAAGACCTCCGTGCCCAGACGGAGCAACTTAAGTCCCAGGTGGAAGAGCTAAACCGTAGGCATGTGGATCAACTGCTACGCTGCCATGAAAGAGAGGACGCTCTGGTAAAAGAGAGGGATATGGAGGCCAAGGCACGGTCAGAAATCCAAACGAACATTACTGCCATGAGGGAAGAGCTTAATTTGTTGAAAAAGCAGAACAGCACGCTTGTGTTTGAGAATGGAGAGGCTTGTGAGGCCTTACATAGGGCCAACACCGAGACAGCAGAGCTCGGGGTTCACGTTTGCATGCTGACGGGCCAGAATGAGGAGGCTCAGTTGCGATGGGAGGAGCTTTCTACCAAACTGCAGGAGCTACAGATGGAGGCACAAGAGGAGGTGGAAACTCTAAGTGAATCGATGAAGGCCATGAGTGAGGAGAATGCAAGACTCCAAGAGCAGCTAAAGCAGACAGAGGGACTCCCAGAAGCCATGCAGAAGTTGCAGGAGAGACTTGAACAGGTAGAGGAAGAGGCCGGAAGCCTCCAAGAGATCCGGCAGAGGGAAGGGGACACACTGAGGTCTCAGTTGAGCGACGAGGCAGCGCACCACCAAAGTCAAGTACAGGTAACTGAAGTAAACAATGCTTATGGGTTTCGGATTTGTCATATTGAACAACTGTTTGTACGTCTTTCTGAAGGGTCTGAATGAGGAACTGGATGCACTAAGGAAGAGATTGGAAAACGAAGTTGAGAAAGTCTCAAGTCTTGAGTCCAAAGTGTTGGAGCTTGAGGTATTGTGATCTCATTTGATTGCTGTTGAGACCATTTCCTTGGAGACCATTACTTGTTGTTTAACTACATAGAGTAATTAACAAACCTTTGAATGAATCAAGAGAGTACTATTTTAATGGACTGGATAGTTTGCTGTAGTCTTGGCAACTGTTAAACAGCCGCCTCTTAGGCCGTGTGTCCACCAAAGCGTTTTTAGACAGCTAAAAACGGCAGACGCTCTGCTAAAGACGCCTTTCTTTGGGCGCTTGAGAGCGTTTTGGCAGCGCAGTGTTTTTTCCGTTGAGATGTTTCGTTGCTATGATACAGAATATCCACAGCACAGTTTACTTGTTGTAACTGATTTCGCAGATCATTTGTTTCATAATACTGGCATAATAGTGGCTCAGTGGTGCATGTTGGTTGTCTACAAACCGAAAGGTTGGTGGTTCAATCCCCGGTACCACCTGACCAAGTGTCAAGGTGTCCATGAGCAAGACACCTAACCCCAGCCGCTCCCGACGAGCTGGATGGCACCTTGCATGGCTGACACCGCCATCGGTGTGTGAATGAGTGTATGAATGGGTGAATGTGAGGCTAATGTAAAGCGCTTTGGTGGCCATTGGGTCTATGAAAGCGCTATATAAATGCAGTCCATTTACCATTTACCATTTAGCTCTGTTGGTTGATGTCGTTCAGAAAGAATGTTGTGACAGTTGGTCGGTGTGGTTTAGCCCCGCCCCTCCTCCACTGTGATTGGACGGGTGGGTAAAAAGTGACAGTGATGAGCGCTACGCTTTATCCAAAGTTGAACATTTTTCAACTCACGGCGACTATTAAAAAACGCTGGGCGCTTCAGCGTGAAAAAACGCTCAGCGCCTCGTTACGCTCATGGCTTTTTAAAAATGCGGCGCTCCCATTGAAAACATACGCTAGGCACGTAGATGACAGACGGCCTTAGGTGCTGTCCACACAGAACATACTATTGCTTTCCACTGCGCTGAATTGAGCAAAAGCTTGAGCATTTAAAGCTGCAGATGACATAACTTTCAGTGTGTGCTTATAATAAACAAAACATTAGTATGCTTTGAAGTGGATGCTAATATAATTATAATTGTAGTTATCTTTATAGTTATCATTCTTGGTGTGAATGGCCCTTTAGGCTATCATAATGCTATCAGAGTTATTTCATATGTGACACTGAATTATTATAATGAATTGTTACTCTGAATTCTTACATTTTGGGAAATAAACAGGTTTTCGCTTCCATTTGTGTTTTTCTTTGAAAGTCTGTCAACAGTCAGATGATCGAAAAGAAAAATGCCCTCGCTGATGATTATGAAACTATAATTCATCAGAAAGAGGAACAGATAAAAAACCTGAGACTGGACTTATCAAGGTAAGAGATTTCTGTACTGCTTTTCAGGTAAACCATACATTACAAATGTAAACAGATAACATAAAAACAAGAGTTGGAAATGGCTTGATCCTCGTTTTTGTCAGATCTGAGAAGGAACTGGCACTTGCTCAGCAGTCCTGTCATGAACTGGGGGTGAACTTAAGCAGAAGTGCAATGGAGAAGCATGACATTGAACTGAAGATGTCTGCTGAGATAGATGACCTTTATCGTACCAAGAAGAACCTGGGGGAGAGACTTATTGAGCTCCTAAGGTGACTTAATGTTTTTTTCTGCTCACATTTATCTAACATGTCAGGAGATATCTTACCTACAACCCTTAATTGCAACCTATATACAACCTTTATTGCATCTTCTAAATTGTTGCAAGCTGTTCTTCATAGAACTTTGGCACCCCCTGTAGGGAGAAAGATGCTTTATGGCAGAAGTCAGATGCACTGGAGTTCGAACAGAAACTGAGAGCTGAGGAACAGACCGACAGAGACGTCACATACTGCCTGAGCTGCCGCAATAACTTCGGCTGGATGCTGCACAGACACAACTGCAGGTCAGGGGTGGAACTTTAAGGGGAAACAAGCTTTTTGTTATCTGTTATAAATGTCATGTTTTTGCTTTTAAATCAGCTAGATGCAATGGGAGTAAAGATGCAATGAAGTGTCTGCATGTTAAGTCTGCATTTATTTGAAATATAATCTTTTTTAACAATATAAATGTCGTCACTTTTGTCTATTTAGTAGGGCTGTCAAACGATTAATCGCATCCAAAATAAAAGTTTGTGTTTACATAATATATCTGGGTGCACTGTGTATAATTATTTTGATATATAGATAAATACACACACATGAATTTATATTTAAGAAAAAAATATTATTTATATATATATATAATATTTATATTTACATATCATAGAAATTTTATATAAATCTATATATAGTATATACATGAAAATATTTTTTTAAATATAAATATATTTATTATATTATATACAATTTATTTATTATTATATAAAAAATATATTCATGCATGTGTGTGATTTTATATATATATAAAATAATTATACACAGTGCACCCACATATATTATGTAAACAAACTTTTATTTTGGATGCGATTAATCGGTTGACAGCCCTACTATTTAGAGAAATTTAATGCATCATTGCAGAATAAACATATTAATTTCTTTAAAAAAAAAAAAAAAACTACAACTTTTGAAAGGTGGTGTATGTTTGAGTTTTCTATATTTTTTTTGGCAGGCTATGTGGGCGCCCATTCTGTTACTACTGCTGCAATTATGCTGTGAGTGTCCAAGGCGGTGGTAAGGAGCGCTGTTGTAAGGACTGCTTCACTCAGCACAGTACTGGACAAGAGCGTCTTTTACGCTCAATGTCAAGCCCAACCCGAACCAGCACACCTAGAGTCCCTGGTGAGATGTTATAGAGTTGAAAAATTACTTTCTGATGTGACGTCATATATTCACATAAAAGTGTTCTGGGGGTATACAATAGGGTTTGGCAATCAAATCAAAATTGTATGTATTATTTAAAGAAAATCCTGACCTTTTTTCCTTTAGTCCTTCTGTGCACTTCTATGACACGTGTGTGTGTTTGTTAGGGACTATTTAGTGTCGCAGTTCACTCCGCCTCGCCTAGAAAAAGCACACTAGTTCTAGAAATCAAAACTAAGAAAAACACAACAATTTACCACTTAGGGTGAACTATCCCTTTTTTTTTCATTTTCAGCTTTCTTTAGTGTGTAATGTTGCTGTTTGAGCATGTAAAAGTTCTGGAAAGTTACAAAGCACAGAGGCTCTCCAGCGGGAGTTATTTCTGTTTCTGAACTCCCTGAAACGCCTCCATTGTAGTCTTGAGTTTTCTTCAGGGAACGGACACATCATAGTATTCATCATGTAAATAATTCCTGATAAATACAGTGATATGAATAAGTTTGGACACCCATGCTAAAGTTGCCTAAAAAGAGGAATAAAAAATCATCTTTTGGATATTGATCTTAATGCCTTAATTAGAAAAATGAGGAAAACTCCAACCTTTAAGGACACAAATTTTCTTTGTGAATGAATAATGCATCATAAATAAATAAATGTTTTTCCTTAAAATAAAGGTTGCACAAGTCAGGACACCCCTATGTTAAATTCCCATAGAGTCAGGCAGATTTTTATTTTTAAAAGCCAGTTATTTCATGGATCCAGGATAATATGCATCCTGATAAAGTTCCCTTGCCCTTTGGGATTAAAATATCCCCACATTATCACACACCTTCCACCACACCTAGAGATTGGCATGGTTTTACTTCAGTTAGCCTAATAGCTGGTTTGATTTGCATTGAAAGATGATCTTATGGAAAGTACCCCATGCCAATCTCTAGGTGTGGTGGAAGGTGTGTGATAATGTGGGTCTATTTTAATCCCAAAGGCCAAGGGAACTTTATCAGGATGAATATTATCCTGGATCCATGAAATAACTGGCTTTTAAAAATAAAAAATCTGCATGACTCTATGGGAATTTAACATAGGGGTGTCCTGACTTATGCACCCTGTATTTTGAGGAAAAACATTTATTTATTTATGATACATTTTTCATTCACAAAGAAAATTTGTGTCCTTAAAGGTTGGAGTTTTCCTCATTTTTCTAATTAAGGCATTAAAATCAATATCCAAAAGATGATTTTTTATTCCTCTTTTTAGGCAACTTTAGCATGGGTGTCTAAACTTATTAATATCCCTGTTTAAGTTGCGTTAGTAGTGTGATGAAACTTAGTAGTGTGTTTATGGTGAGGGTGTGTGTGACATTTCTGAAATCTAAATAGATAGGCTGCATCCGAAAACTGTAAAATGCAGCATTCGGAGGACGGATTCTAAGGGCACGTCCGAATCTAAAGTCTCCTAAGGTAACTTCATCTGATCGATGTTTAAAGGCAGCATAGTTGTATCCTTCACCGCCTCTGATATCCCACAATCCTGTGCTTTACATTCTGTGCTAGTTGAGCTAAAAGATGGCTTCTGTAAGTTGTGGTTGGTGGTCAGTTAGTGTGAAAATGTACGTTTTTGACCAGTTTTCCACTTCTGATGTCATTTCTAGAGAGAAATCACCTTGGTAGTAATTAAATATTTGCTTTGTTTTCACCAAAGCTCGCTCTATTTTACTAGTTCATTAAACCGTTACTCTGGCTCAGAAGTCTGTCTGAAATCAGCTTTCTGAGGCTCCTTGATGTGACGCTCCCTAGGCAGCGAGGAAACAAGTCTGCTGCCTAAGTTTTCAGATACAGCCATATTAGTTTCTGACTGTGTGAAGAGAAGTGCTGTAAAATATGTGAAAAATAATGTGTTTTTGAACATTCTGTATTCTTGTAGACACCAAAAACAAAATCAAGATTTTATTAAAGGACATAATAGGTCCCCTTTAATTCTCAGTGTATGTGACTGTTATCCTCACAGGGGTACTGAGGTCCCCTCGGCCAGATGACGCAGCGTATGACATCATCACAGAAGAGGAGGTGAACCGTGTCCATGACAGCGACTTGTACTACACTGCACTGTCACCAGAGACAGAACAGCTGTGAGAGACACACACACACACACACACACACGCCTGTCTTGTTAGCACAGATTCTCTGCACTAAACACAACACTCTGAATATGTGCTGAAGTAACAAACAAAATTAAATTTGCTCCTGCTGAGCTGAACTCAGTTCCATTATTGGACTTATTTATCAGAGCAAATTTGACATGAACACATGGCGCCTGCCAGTGTAACTTAATGTACTGCCATGTAAACTACATGATATTGAAACTTTCTGGCTTTGTTTTAATTTCTTTTGTAGCACTTGGTAGGATGTGTGCACTTTTTTATTCTGTGATTTGGTAAGTGTACGACAGGAACTTAAAATGTAAGTTCATATATGTTTACAGGAGCAGCAGTGACATCGCCAGCACAGAAGATTCAGACGAGCTGATTGGCTCGGTTCAGGATGCTGAGATCTGCCTGCTGAAGTCTGGAGAGATGACGTGAGTGAGACACACAATGCTTAATGATGGATCCTGTTGCCGTTTTTGCTAAATTATTATTATTATTATTACACTTACAAAAAATAAATCTAGTTTTGCAATGTTTATTTATTCCCATGACCAGCAATGTTTATCAAATTTTTCCCCTTTAAATTCTTGACCCATTACTTTAATGGAAAAATTAATTACTTAAAAAAAAAATGCTATGCTATACTGTATTATTTACAGTAAGTTGTGAAGTATTTATTGAACTGCCTTTAATTTATGCTGATTTTAAATCTATTAAATATATAATGTATTTTTAATTTATTTATAATAGGGCTGGGCAACGATTAATCACGATTAATCGTATCCAAAATAAAAGTTTGTTTACATAATATATGTGTATACTGTGTATAATTATTTTGTATATATAAATACACACACATGCATGTATATATTTAAGAAATATTTGCATGTATATATATTTATACATATAAATATTTTATATATTAATAACACATTTTTCTTAAATAAATACATGCATGTGTGTGAATTTTTATATACAAAATAATTATACTCAGTACACACACATATATTATGTAAACACAAACTTTTATTTTGGATGCAATTAATCGTTGCCCAGCCCTATTTTATAATCGTTATGCATTTTTTATTACAGTAATACGAATCTAATAAAAGGAAAACTTTCAGATGCATTACGTTAATGAGAATTTAATGGAGAATTGTGCATATTTGTCATGAAAGTAAATTGTCAAATTGAATCTAGAATTGCAATATTTATTAATTTCCGTGACCAGCAACGGTGACATCAGTGATGTTGTGTTTCACAGGCTGTCTGTGCCGTTCAGTGTAAAGGACGTGAATGAGTTTGGCGATATGTCCAGAGAACTCTTCATCAAGTCCGGCTGTTACAGTGTCATTCTCATAACCGCTGCACATCCGGGCCCTACGATCAGCTGGGTCTTCTCCTCTGAACCCAAGAGCATCGCCTTCAGCGTGGTGTACAGAGAGAACGCAGATACGCCTCTAGAAGAGGCCAAGGTAATGTACTGATTAGAAATGAAGCTTGTTGATGTTTTCACTGTGTATATTTATACCAATTAATGTCTTTTATAATATATATAGTTACTGCACATATCATATCAAACCTTCCTAGAATTGAGTGATTTTAGAGTTAAATAATGGTAACACCGACCATACTTTATATTTTTCCATGTTTTTTATATGCATTTGTCAAAAGGTTTGCGTTTATTATAATTATTTTAAACATCTCCTTAGAAAGATACTACTACAGCTTGATGTCCAGTGTAATGTTAAAAACAAACAAAAATATGAAGCAGCACAACTGTTTTCAGCATTGATAAGAAATGTTTCTTGAGCAGCAAATCAGTATATTAGAATGATTGCTGAAGGATCATGTGACACTGACAGTGCAGTTTTGCATCACAGGAATAAATTGCATTTTAAAATATATTAAAATAGAAAAATGTTAAAATTGTAATAATATTTCACATTATTCAGTTTTGATCAAATAAATGCACCCTTGGTGAGCACAAGTAACTTCTTTCAAAACGTAATTAATAAAAAATCTTACAGACCCCAAACCTTTGAAAAGTATTTATATTATAGTATAGTATAGTACTATATTAGTTGTAAGAGATATTTCTGACTACAGACTGATACCTTGAGGTCCAAAAGGGATTTGGATTCAGATGAAAAGTGAAAGTCCCATGATAATGCTATGTGTGAACAAAGCTGTAACTTTTATTATTTCCACTGCTCTAGTGTAAGATGATGTCATGGAGTTTGAGCTTGACAAGTTCTGTAGGAGCTGATGCAATTACTAATTTTAACAAACTAGTATTATAAACAAGTTTTCCAGCAGAACACATTAACAATAATCTTTAACAGTAATTTTTGTGTTGCAATAAATATATACAATGTCGTAAGCCATTGCTTGCGTGAATAACAGATGTGGTACCTTAACTGACGAAGTTAATTCAGCAATTTTACAGCAAATTAAAATGAACATGGCTATATCTGTCAAACACACATTGCAGTGGGTGTTGACTAAAATAGACACCCACACTTTTCTCCTGTGGTGATGACATCTGGACAGCTTTAGAAATCATAGAATGGATACTAAATCCTGGTTCTTATTTTTCAGGTTCTGATCCCTCTGACAAGATGTAAATCTCATAAGGAAACAATTCAGGGTCAGTTGAAGGTCAGGAACACTGGAGAATACACCCTTATCTTTGACAACTCATTCTCAAGGTTTGTACTGAGATCAATTCATTTTTCTTCTGTCTTCTGCGTTTTCACATCTGGCTCGTTTCGAAGCCTGGTGTGTTTTCTCTCTTAGGGCCCTTTCACACCTACCTTGTTTGGTCCGGACTTTCGGACTTTTCAGTTTGGTCCGAATCAAAATTTTAAGTGTGAAACCTCCCCCGGACCACGGTCCAAACCAAACAGATGACATTTGGTCAGACGAAAAGAGGTGGTCTCGGTCTGGATCAAACTGAGCAAAGGTTTGGTTCGTTTATAGTGTGAAAGCATTTCTGTATGGTTTGGACTTTCAGACCTTTTACAGGAAGTTCTGGTGGTTCCCAAAAAGCCGAAAAAACTATTGGTGGCAGGAGAAATGAGCCGTTTTGCACATGGGGAGAGGAGGAGACGAGGCTTTTAATTGAAGTATGGTCTGATGACATAATGAGAAGTCAACTTGCAGTCTTCTCCTCCTTTCCTGCCGGCGACGATAAAATGTTCGCACAACGAGGACGTTCATTTGGCGAATTTGAACTAGCCTTGTGTATAGTTGGTGCTGCAGGTAATTATGAATAGCAATATAAAAATAGCAATATAGTTACAACGATATTCGTCTGTTCGTTCATGTTGTCAAAGCTCTTCTCCATGCATGGCAAAAATGCTGTCCTGACGTGTCCTTGATTCCCGCTCTAACCACATTAATATATTATCTGATTTAAATTCGTAATATATATATATATATATATACAGGGGTTGGACAATGAAACTGAAACACTGGCCAATGTTGGAGGTTTCACATCTATATGCCTGGCGGCCAATCTTCAGAGAGAAGCACGGGTGGATCAGTGATGGTTTGAGCTCCAATATCATCTAATCTATTAGTCATCCTGTTTCATTTGAATGAATTGAACATTGTATCGCGGCTGCGCGCATCCAAAAAATCGCAATAATCTTTGTCCTTTGTTAATATTGATATGAAACAAAGTCAAAATTTTCAAATTACGTCCATTTTCTTTAGAAATTCAAAAACATAAATAGCGTTTTGGCGCTGTGGCGTGAGATCGCTCTGGCGCAGCTCAAGAGAAGCAGCAGCGCTGACCTCTCTTCCGGCTTAATAATACCAGTCACAGCGCGAAATAAACATGAATGAGCATCTGAAAGTGTGTTAGAAGATAGAGTACAGCTTATCGAAATCCGTATCATGTCACATTGATTCACTCAATCAGCGTTTCAACCGTGGAAAGACGTCAGTTAAACAGCTTGTAATCAATGTCATGTATCGTCATATTTACCTCAGAAAACCCACATAAACTCGTTAGTCAGCTAGAAAAAAATAACTCCAGAGAGGAGCATTTTGTTAAATATATACACTATATTACATATGCATTATAATCTTAATGTTCTTCAATATTTAATGCATATTTGAATAAATCTGGCAAGTTTTTATGACAGCCACCATTTAAATGTTTATATTTCATGTAATCTTCTTATTATAAAAATAAATAAAAGTGTAATTTAAGTGTTTGTGTAGCTACAAAACAGTTAATTATTCCCTTCATATTAGGCTAATGAAGCCTAGTAGGCTACAACTAGACTCCCACAGTTTACAGCATTAGTTAAGAGATTTGATTCCCTGGAGAAAAATTGCCATTTATTGTAACTGATATCCAAAATAATCAATATTGAATCGAATCGTAATCGAAATCGAATCGAATTGCAAGCTTGTGAATCGAAATCGAATCGAATTGTGAAATTTGTCTCAATACCCAGCCCTAATATATATATATATATATATATATATATATATATACACACACACAAGAGTTGGACAATGAAAATTAAACACTGGCCAATATAGTGTTTCATGTTTATATATTGGTGGCCAATCAGGCCAATCCTGGTGGCCAATCTTCACTGATTTTACATTCCATCAGTAAGAGCCGAGTGTGACGGCTGAATTTGCAGAGGATTAGCACAGCTAAATATAAAATATGCAATCCACACAACATAATGGGAGACATATCAGAGCTCAAAAGAGGACAAAATGTTGGTGCGCTTCTCACAACAGGAAGTATTTTTGGTCTATCGAGAGCCACGGTATCCACGTTAATGTTGCCATACTGTTGCTGTCTGCACAAGAGAAAGTTGTCTGAAAGGGATGTCCAGGTGCTAACCTGGATAGAAAAAAATTGAAAACTACAGCAGTCAATATACATGGTCGGGCGGCTATAGCCAAACCCATGGTCACTCGTTTCATGGGTGCCAACACTGCAAATCTTGGGCTGTGGACAATGTGAAACATTCTCTGATTAGATGAGTCCACCTTCACAGTCTTTCCCTCATCCGTGGAGAAGCTCCAAATAGAGTCAATACCACTGTTGCGTGCCTGCAGTGAAGCACAGGAGTGGGTCATTGATGGCTAGGGCTGTAGTATCATGGCATTCCCTACTGTGCTTGATGGACACGTCACTGCCAAGAACTACCGAACCATTCTGGAGAACCATGTGCACCTAATGATTCAAGCATTGTAAACTGAAGAGGGTGCCGTGTATCAGCAGTATAATGCACCATTACACACAGTAAGAGGAAATGTTGCCGAACCAAACCAAGAAAAAAAAATCTTAATACAAATTAAGTCCGTTTCAGAAGAAAGCAAACTATCTTCAAGTCTGACGACATGTTTTGTTGTTCTTCCTGTTTGCAGGTTCGTCTCAAAGAAGGTCCTGTTCAAACTGAGCATAGAGAAGACAGAGGAAGCCAATGGAAATGATTGTTCTTCATAAGAAAACACAACACACACACTATTCGGACTGTGCCAGGTCAACGGACTGCTTGTCCAGGATGATGTCTTCATCAAGCCAAACACGGTGCATGATGCTGCTTTCACAATCACATGAAGGAAATAAGAAAATAGACTTCACAAGGAAATGAAGGACATATTAGGATTTTATCTATTATACCCCCCCCCCCACACACACACACCATTAAATTCTTGTCCTATTAATAATGAAAAAAAAACTATTTTCTAAAAATCTAATTCAAAAACCATATCCCTCTTATGATTGATTTTAACATACTTTTGGGAAACTCTAATCAGTCCCTCCAGAAAAACGCGATTATGCGATCGCTGAATTCAATGCAAAATCAGCCAAAGTCCGCATATTTATGCGGGGGCCGCATTTTTTCAAATACGCCGCACTTTCGCCGCATAAATTGCCGATTTCCGTGCAAAATATGTGGGGTTTGCATAATTTCATAATCCTCGCATTTTCGTTGCAAATTAGTCACATGTATCTTAGCAGAAAGTTGAAAAATGTGCGTTTGCTTCACACAAGAGCAGCCATTTCCCCCTGTTTCCATGGGGACGTTATGAAGTGACGCAATTACGCGACGCCAGACAGACTCACGGAGGCGATTGACATCTCACAAATCGAACTCGTATAACTGTCTGTCACACGTTCTACCGTCACATCGTTACTTAATAAACAACATAATATAAAAGAAGTAGCATCAAACAGAAATTACCCGCACACATGGGGCGTTTGAGGCGCACATATAACACTGCAGAGAGTTCAACAAGGAGCGCGCAGCTCTTAAAGGGGCCACACCTTATTTACACTCGTTACAGTCTGAAATAAAACAAGATGAGAAATTAAATATTCCCAGCACTTTCTATGATGTAGTATGCTTGCTTATCAAAGGAAGTAATAAGAAATGACTCTTACATTAGCCTAGTGAGAACAGGATGTTGGGGGAATCACTTTTTTTCTCTTTTTTATCAAACCGCAATTTTTGCAAGTTCCCTCAATTTTTGCAAATTCCTGCAATTTCATCCCATAAAATTGCATAAATATCCCGCATATTCTTTCCATCGCATTTTTAAAGAAAACGGGCCACGTAATCAAGGATTTTTGCCCGCAACAATCACAAAAAAACTCCGCGTTTTTCTGGAAGGACTGAATACTATTATGGTAAATGTTATATATAAATCGCAAAAAATTACCATCACAAAATCAGTCATTTTGATCGCAAAAATCACAAAAAAAAATCGTGAAATCCTGGAGGGACTGTCTAATAGCCAGACTGGCACAATATCTCACATACGCTACGTCCACAATAATCTGAATACATTTGAAAACGGGGTTTTCGTTTAAAAACGAAACATTTGAAACAAACACTACCGTTTTCCGACGTTTCAGTGTGGATAAGAAACTTCTAAATTCACTTTACTGCGCATGCGTGAAACTTAGAGCTCACTGAGATGGTACAGATGGGAAAATAAAAAATAATGTTATCGCACAATAACAGGATAATTTTATTTAGCAAAATATCTCACCATCACTGATGCGTCCAGGTCGCATTCAGTCACCATATGTTTGGTCTAAAACGCAACTGCTCTCCTGTTTTGCCGCAGGACAGCAAATGTGAGTACATTATCTGTCATCTTTGCAGTACTATGCTATGAACAGCACTAAGTAACATAGAAAGTAACATATTTTAGCAATAGTGTAAAAATGAATAACACATAACAGGCACAATACCGATAAACATGAATATCTATTGGTACTGCATGGATCACATGACTAAACTTACGTCATCGTTTTGAAATACCTCTGGCGGTTTCACTTTCCACACTTCAACGCGAAAACGTACGGCATTTTCAAATTTATCCACTTTGGAGAGCGTTTTCCAAACGATACGTTTTTATTGACTTAAAACGCCAAAACGGCCAAAACGAAAAATATTAGTGTGGACATGGCCATAGTTATCAATAAACCTAAAGGGAATGGATGGCAAAAAAACAAACAAAAAAAATCTGAAATGCAGTGAAATATAGAAATATAGCTGTGTGTTCAGTAGTAAAATAGATGAAGGTTGAAGGATAGGAGATTATGCACTACAGAAGAGCTTTATTATTGTTTTGTTATTAGATTAGTGAATGTAGATATGCTGAAAATCAGTTTTCTCACATACGCCTGTCTTTTTAACATTCTGTGTTACATTGAGGTCATTAACTGATTTTAACAGTGGTATTGCCCTTTGTTAATGTCAGTTAATAAAAATGTTAATGTTCATTAACTAATTCTAAAAACTTTTAATTTTAAAAATGTTTTTGTAAATGTTTAGATTAACATTAATTAAGAATAATAAATGCTGTAGAAATACCGGTCATTGATGTAGTTGTAGTTAACTAATTTTAACCAATGAAGCCTTACTGTAAATTTTTACCCATTCTTTTATACCATCGGTCTAATATCAATATAAGTCTAACACAGATGCTAAATATGGAAGAATTTGTGTCTATAGATTGGAAACTAATATATTTTCTTGTGAGATTAATATATCTCGCATTTTGGGCATCATGGGCTTTTTTAAAGCTTTACGTATAAGAATTCTATGCAGACATAAAATCTGTATTCTGAAAAGGACATGTGCACTGTAATAAGAGGCAACTCCAGTTCCTGGCAGTCTTGTTTATTATCAACCAAAAAAAATGCATTTTCATTCAGCTGACGCCAGGCAAAATTATATAAGCAATAACTCAGTGACTGTTTTTTTATTTTTTTTTATTTGCATAAATACAATTTTTTTGGCAGCCACACAGTGCAATAACTCGAGATGGTGAATATTGTAAATGGCACTTTTTGTTACATCTAAATTTTAATAAGAAGCATTGATGCTTTTAATAAAAAGCATCAACACTGTTGCACTTTCTGAATGTGTTTTAGAGGCTGATGACGGTGCTTGATCACAGGACTGTAAGCATATCAGAGTGACTCGCAGTCATTTTTTACTGTAAAGAGCTGTGATATAACAGTAGTGAAATGGAGATTTTGAAATAAAACTACCTGATGACATGACTCTCCTTTTTTAATCCCCCCATCCCCCACCCCTAACTTTATATCTACAGTTATAAATGGTTTTTTCCCCCTCTGGCCACAATTGATATCTAATTGTTTAAATTGAGTTTGTGATATCTAAGACATCCAGTCAATTTCAGTAGAAATTGGTATTGGAGCTTGTTTCTATGGAAGCTTGTTTCCGCCATGGAGTAAAACAATTTAAAAGATAATTGCAATCTCATACGAGACGTTTTTTTCTCACAGTTGCGAGTTTACATTTCACAATTCGTACTTTTTTTCCGCTCAGAATTGCATAAAAACTCGCAAATGCGAGAAATATACTTTTTTTCCCCCTTAGTTTATCTCTTTTATACCTCTTTATATCACGCATTTCTTAGAAGAAAAGTAAAAATTGTTAGATGTTGCGTGAGAAAGAAAGTTAGAATTGTGAGATTCCATCAGCTTCCATATGTTTCCGCCACAGAATTAAAAAAAAGTGCTTTTTATTCATATTTTTGATTCAGATTTTTATTCAGTTTTTTGAGAGTTTACATTTTGCAATTCTAAAATTTTTTCTCAATTGAGTGATATGAACTCGCAATTGCCAGTTAACTTATATGAACTCGATATGAACTCGCAATTGCCAGTTAACAAAGTCAGAATTGTGCAATTATCTTTTAAATAGTTTTATTCTGTAGGGGGAATCGAACCCATAACCGATTCCCTGGGAATCGAACCCATAACCTTGGCGTTGCAAGCGCCAACGCTACTGTTTGAGCTACAGTAAAGACTTCTAAATTCTTGATGTATAGATCAAAACACATAATGACGTGTAAGTAATGCATTCTCGTGACATTGCCATCTGCTCCATTAATATGTGTATGTTCTTCGCTGTGATGAGCTCAGTCTCTTAGATATTGATTATTCCCTGCCAGGGCTGCATCCAGTCTTGCTCGGATGCCGGTTGCCCGTGGTTACGGCAGCGCTGCAGAGGCCGAGCGCCGTTGATCTCACCGTGAAGTCCATCTGAACACAGCGTGTTTGTGGTGCAGAGTCCAGACCATTTCCCAAGGTTAATGAACCCATTGTAAATCAGATCACATCCTGTGACCAGCCTGCAATGATCTGAGATTTATACACATACAGGCAGAGAGAGAGAGAGAGAGAGAGAGCTGGGGGAGGATGTAGAAAAATGTGAGTTGAATATCAATGTGTGTCTCACACACACACACACACACAAAACATTCAGGATTTGGGTAAACTGGTGATCAGAATAGATTTCTTCCATACTTCTGCAGTATTTAGCATGATCGATTCTGTGTCAATATCACATCATTGTCGCGTGTCTTTTCGTACAGATCTTGTTAAAATTATTATTAAAAGTATTTTGTTAACCATTTTACAGTCAGTAAGTTTAGAATTAAAGGAGTAGTTCACTTTTAAAAAACTTTTGCTGATAATTTACTCACCCCCATGTCATCCAAGATGTCCACGTCTTTCTTTCTTCAGTCGAAAAGAAATGAAGGTTTTTGATGAAAACATTCCGGCATTTTTCTCCATATAATGGACTTCAATGGGAACCAATCGGTTCAAGGTCCAAAAGAAAGTTTCAGTGCAAACTGTTGAAAGGGCTTTAAACGATTCCAGACGATGAATAATAAATAAATAAAGTTTAAGTTTTAAAAGCTCAAATGCTTTGCAGTTTATACTGAAAGTGTCTTTTGGAGCTTGAATCGATTGGTTCCCATTGAAGTCCATTATATGGAGAAAAATCCCGGAATGTTTTCATCAAAAACCTTAATTTCTTTTCGACCGAAGAAAGAAAGACGTGGACATCTTGGATGTTAACAGCAAAAGTTAAATTATCAGCAAAAGTTTTTTTAAAAGTGAACTACTCCTTTAAGCTTTATTTTGTCATTTTGTCACCTAAAGATACCGAATGTATAAAGATATGTCGGCGTATACTTACCGAACATCCAAAACGAGGCTGTGTGCTGCACTCTCTGTATATGTGTAGCTACATATAAGCTGAGAACTCGTGAAGAGCTTATAAAATGTGCAAAGGAGTCAAAACAGTGACTCAAGATCACACACACAAGAAAGATCTGCTGCTAGGAGATCTTCGATGGGTAACATCCAGCTCGTTCTTATCCCAAGGCGTTATATACTGATGCTTTTGCCTACGCGTATAAATCCAATGCACATGGCACCCATTAGCGTCAATATGAGACGCAGATATATAAGGGCCAGAAGGCGCCTCCTAGTGGTCTAACCCTAACCCTACCCCAGACCTAAACCTATCTATAACCGAAGTGTGTTATATTGACGCTAAAGGATGCCATGTGCGTTCGATATATACGCATTGGCAAAAGCGTCAGTATATGACGGCCTAGCATGAGAATGCGTTGTAACATCGCGACTGTCTGGTCACATCTTGTGACACCATTTTTTGGTTAGTTTACATGTCTTTGGTCCATGTTGTGTTCATATTTCTTTCGAACCGCACCAGAGTTCAATTGGAAGCGGATCAAGACCCAGCTTTCAGCGGTCTCGGTCTGCTTGTTTGGCAGCATTCACATTTATTGAACCGCACTAACTGAGCCATCGCACCAGGGTTCGGTTTAATCGAACCAAACATGCCAAGGTTGATTTTTTTATCACAGGCTGTGCACTTTCAGTCCTATCCATCTGTTTTTCCTGGCTTGGATACTGCACAAAACTGTATTTGCGCCCCTCTTTTTTTATGGAATGCTATACATCGACAAATGTTACTATTCAATACCTTTGAGTTTGACAGTCCAATCAAATGATGAGTCAAGAAAGATTTACGCCAGAAATAGAATGCAGAGCACAATGCATTATGGGATATAGTGTTTTATGCAGTGTTCTTTTGTTGTATACTGCAGAAATCCTATACATACTACTCCCATTGTGTATGCAATATGCCATTCCAGCCCGTTCTCATCCTTTAGCGTCACATATACGCTATATGCCAAAATGGCGCTATATGCACATGGCACCTTTTATCGTTAATATTCACGCGAACCCAAGGCGTCATAAATCCTTTAGCGTAATATGAGACTACCCTACCCCACACCTAAATCTAACCATCACACTCACAGCGCGTGTTATATTAACGATAACGGGTGCCATGTGCGTAGCTAGCGCCGTTTTGTCATATAGCGTTCTATATGGCGCTAAAGGATGAGAAAGCGTCTAATGTTTTTCCAGTCATATCCATCCTATATTCAGTGCAACAGTACAGCCTCTTAAGGAAAAGGACACTATTTTTGAGCCCTTGTTGGCTAATTGAAGTGTCCATTTCATATCAGTGCCATAAATCTTTGCTCGTTCTCCTCTCGTGTCTGATACAGGGATGGGAAGAAAATGTGGCCAATGATCATGGCTCTGATATGTAATTAAAGGCCCACTGAGCTGCATTATCCATTTCTTGAATCTGTATTAATTTACAATTCCCTTTTCATGTCTAAACCTAAACCTAAATGTGTTTGATGTGCTGTATGTGGTTCTGAGCACTAGGTGGCAGCCTGACACATCACAATCGTTACTGCTAATGCAACAAATCACACCATGAACGGCACTGATTTGATTTATTTTATCCGATTTTTTTTAAAAACTGCATTCATAAAAGCTTTTGCGAAACATGACTTGACAGAGAATTAATGAATGTCTAAAAGTAAGAAAACACACCCTAAAAATATCCAGACGACACAATTATTTTGGAATATTTGTATATTTTCTTTATAATAATTATATTTAACCTGTTGTTTTGGACAATTAAATGACCCATCAGATTTATCCTCAGCTTTACGGTATGTAGCCTATTGGACTAAATGAAATGTCACATAAACATCACTAATTTTCTTCAGAAAATATAGAATATTGTTAAAGCTTTAGTGTCATGCATTATGATTTGCTTTCATGTATAACAAACAATGTTCTTAATAACCTCTACAACAGGACGGGTGATGCAATAGGCATAATTCATAAAATGTAAATACGGGCCATAGTGATGCGTGGCCTCTGGAATCTGTTTATCTTCCAGTGTGTGAATTTTATTAGCATAATGAACAACCACAGAGCGCTTTGATTCTCCTGAGCATTGTGAGTACTTATTCAGATTCTCCCCTGCTAATATGCCAGTGTTGCTAATCAATATCAAAGTGTATTTGTGTGTGAGATAGAGAGAGAGATGTAGGCTAACATATGCATTTGTGTCCTGTTTCTCCCAGTATTGCTTGGTGTCAAGCACAGTTTCATCAGAGCGGTTTCTTAAGTCCTCAGAGGCCTTTCATCACAAACTGTCGGGTAGCAGCCGAGACCAATCTTGCGTTGTGTTTCATCCAATCTTGCGTAATTCTCTACTCTTCAATTTTTTAAGTTTTCTTCACTACCTTATCTCAATGTTTACCAGTTGTTGAATATCAATTAAGCATTAAAAAAAAAAAAAAAATGTGAGTGGCATTTACCATGTAGGCTACAAAACTCATCAACAAGATGTCGCCAGGCAGAGTGTGTTTTTTTTTTTTTTTTTTGGTTGGTGAGGGTGTTTCTGGTCCACTGTGATACTCTCTAGATTTCTGCAGTTTTATTAAAAGTCAGATGAAAATACTAGCCTATAGTATGTATAATCTCTATGAGAAGTAATAATACACATCTCTACCAGAGTATGGGAAATCGTAATAGTTATGCTAGCCCACACTTAAAGGGATAGGTCACCTTTGATATTTTTTAGCTTACCTCAAGTGCATCCAAGATCATTGTTTCAGCAGTAGTTTCAATTTAGATATTTTTAGGTCTGTGAGTCTTTTAATGGAGGTCTATGGTCACCACCTCAAAGAGCATGCACAGTGAAGTCCAAATTAAACACGATTTAATGACTCGTAAATGTAAGTACACATTGATGGGCTAAGACACGAAACGAGCGGTTTGTGTGAGAAAACGAACAGTATTTATATTGTTTTTACCTCTTGTAACCACACAGCCACAAAGCGCCCTCGCCCTCAGATCACTTGGACGTGGCTGTGTGGTTACAAGAGGTAAAATCTATATAAATACCTTTCGATAACGTTTGTCCAATCGAGATTGCGATAAAGACGATAAAGAGACATCTTTATATGGATATCTATGGATTCTCCACCCAAAAATGTAAATTCTCAAGTTGTTGCAAACTTGTATGAGTTTCTTTCTTCTGCTGAACACAATATTTTGAAGAACGACTGGCACCATTGACTTCCATAGTATTTTTTTTTTCCTACTGGAAGTCAATGGTGCCAAACAACTGTTTGTTTCCAAACGTTCTTCAAAATATCTTCCTTTGTGTTCAGCAGAAGAAAGAAACTCATACATAACTGAGGGTGTGTAAATGATGACAGAATCTTCATTTTTGGAAGGATGAGTATCCAAACTGATCTGTAGAGCCATCAGTAATCAAGACTTTAGCTAGGATTGTTGGAAGGGGAGAAATGGCCCCAAAATCGACCGATTTTCTTCTAGTATGTGTTTGTGGTAATGTTTTTCTTGCCATCCAGGACTTCCGAGGTTTAAATGGGTGTCTCTGAGACATATTTCTGCTTGAATGATGGATCAATGGATTGACCCCATGAGGAGAAAATGTCTTCACGTACACTCTAAGAATGCTTCCGGTGAATAAGATAGAATATTTGATTGTTTCTGCTTAAAATGTTATTAATTCATTAATTGATTCATTTGTTTATTACACTTCTCTTTTTCCTGTTTTTTTCATCCTTGGCTCATTTAGCTTTCCAATTGATATTCTTTTGATCTGTTGTTTCCATGACAACGTGCTATAGCTCAACCTCTCAACAAAATGTCTAAATATGAGCAGTCCCTTTTAGTCCATCTGTATTGCAGTAGAAGGCAACCAACAGCGTGAATAATTTAATATATTAATATTATATATTGTTAAAACCCACTCAGAACACCCACAGACTTTTGTTATAGGCTACAAAGATAGATAAGTGTGCATTCGCCCGCCATCTTGGAACAGTCAGCATGTCGTGACTTACAGTAAGAATAAATTATGTCAAAACATTGTGCATTGTGTTCATTAATAAATAATAATAATAATAATAATAGCCCATTAAGTGATATATTGAAAAATAGAGTCAATCATTTGTTTTATTTATAACTGAAATCTTTGGACATTTAAC